TTAAAATAATATCCACCAAAATTAATTTTCTTGCAGACATATGGTGTAGGTTTTCAGAACTGGGACACAGGACGGAAGCATAAGCTTCCCTCTTTTTCAGAAGTAGGTGGATCTAGATTTTCCAAATGTAAAATAAAAGTCCATCTATCATAAAAAACAATAAGCTCTGGAGCTGCCTAAATTGGAAGACATTATTATTTGAAAGGCTGGTATCGGATATTTGACCAACCAGGAAGCCAACAAGTAGTGGATTCGAGGGACTCTGGTGAGGGTAGACGGATGAAATGTAGAGAACAGTTATATTAGGGCTAAGAAACCTATCCTGTGAATGGGCACTTTTTTAGCTTTTCCCAGGGAGAAACAGCACTTTTTGCTTTAAGGGAAGCCCAGCTGACAAAAATAATTCACCACCACCACCACTAAGGAGGGCCTCATAGTGGGATCAGTGGTGTATATGGGTGTGGACTTCACCCCCAAAATGCCAGGGTGAGGTCTTTCTCTGCTTGAACTATGGGCCACATATGAAGAATGGGCCTTCTAAGCTAGGGAATGTGTGTGGCCCTCTATAAGTAGCTGGACCGCCATTCCTACCATCCTTGCTGTCACTGACAGTTCTGGCATGGGTTGATGGGAGTTGTTATCCGAATAATATTTAGAGGAGACACATTCCACATCCCAGAGTTAATCAGACCAGTTCATTGACAAAGACAGGTATCAGGCCTTCTAAATGGAGTTGCCTGGCCAACCACGTGGGACATACAGGGTTTCCTTGATTCAGTGTCTACACTTGTGGGCCCAATGATGATGGAGCCTGTGGATTATTACCTCAAGTGCCAGAGACAGAAACTTTCAAATAGTAATCAGAGAGGGCCTTGGGCTTGCCTGAGGTAAATTGCTTGTGATGATTTTGCTTCAAGGATCCCACCCACCCCCCTTTCCAATCTGTAAACAGGAAGGTAAACTTTTGATGAGTCAAGAGTCATATTTGCCTTCCTCCAGATCCTGGAGAAGCCAGATTCCCTCTGGACTTTGCCTTTAAATGGAATCAGGGCAAAACGGCTCATCATCCTGTAAAAACCTCAGAGAGAAGACAATTTGCCATATTTATGTAATTTCCAGACGCACTGAATTTGTGTTAGGCCAGAAAATGCCTTGTTTATCTTCAAAAGAAATTGTGGACAGCCAATTACCTCTGTTTTATTTTTAATATATTTTTTTCATCAAATAGAATAGGTGTGTTATATAAAAATGACAAATTAGACATCTCTGGTGATTGTGTTTTGCTATGGGGGCACCTTTGCTTTTTAGGGGACTCCACGGAATTTGGCATGCGGCCGAAGGTCTGCACTGTGCCCACTCCTTAACATGATTGTTGTTGTTGTTACTGCTGCTAAGATAGTTCAGAGTTTAGATTCCCCCCTCCTTCCTTCCAACCACAAAGCGGTTCTAGAAATGCAAGGGTTTTTTGCTTTGTTTTTGTTTTTACCACAAGGGGAAGATGAATCGATGGAGTAGTTATATAAGTGTAAGCCCTGTTGCAGTGGTTTTCTTTGAACTTTTTACTTTCAGGGAGAGTGTTTATAAAGGGCTTTCTACAGGGACAGGCCAAGACCGTGACTTATTTTGCTCATATATAAAAGCTGTCTAGTTGGCAGTTGACTTTCCTTCAGCACAGACAAGGGGCCACACTGTCCTCCCAGGCTATCATATGGCAAACAGCTCTCTTATTCCAACACCTATCTGCCTCAGTTGACTACCTCACTTTCCCTAACTGTAGAGCCATCCCTCCTTCTCCATTAAGGAAATCCAGAGAGTTGCAAAGGATTCTTGAGTATGCTCAAGGGTGAACAATCAGAGGCTGACTACATTGATATTTAGCCAGCTGTTTGGCCCTCTGCACTGATGGACTGGTTTGCTCCTTTAAAAAAAGGGATCAGATGATGTCTTGGCTGGAGCGAAACAGCCCACCCCCAGAGCAGACCTATCTGAACCTTTTTGGCCTCTGTTAGGGGCTTCTACTTCTCTTGGTGTGAATAAGATTGGGATGTTTTGGTCCGTTTCCAGTGCATGTGATCACTGCAAATGAGCCCCAAAAAGCTTTCCCCTTTTAATTTGCCAATACTGTGAAGAGAACCACTTTAGGATTTTGGCAAATTCAACTCTGCCATGGCTGTTTTTTAATTATTTTTTTAAAGAGCAACAAATCTGCATTGCATTATTTCAAAAGCAGCATTAGGTATGTGTATTACAAGCTAGTTATGTCCATTAAGTAGTCTGTTCACTCAGAACAGTACCTAGAACGTTTGAGTTGTGCTGTTCCATCACATGAATTGTGCAGTCAGCCTGGATTACGCACACCCAGCAGTCTCTCAAAGCTGAAAGGGAACAGGGTGAGGGTTAACAGACAAGTATTGCATAGAAGTTAGAGCATTTTTTAAAAAATAATCAACAACTTATTATTCATTTTTTAAAAAATGTGATTAAGTAAAAAACAAAAACAAAAATGGACAAAAGGGTTGGGTGGGATACCCCCCCAAAAAAACTTGAAACAGTCCTTCCCCCTTTTAAAGAGGGGGACAGAAACAGAAGAACACCACCACTTACAATTTCATATATAAATAAGAGAGTATGTGTTAGACTGTGAGCTCTATACCTGTCTCTATTCAGATGGGGAATGGACTGATTGATCTTGGGCCAATCATCGTCCCTCAGTCTATGCAACTTCACATAGGTTGTGGTGAGGAGGGAACCATCCATACACTGGTTTGAACTCCCTGAAGGAAAACTGTAGATGTAATACATTGTGGTGCACAAGCTGTCATTCAGGAGAGTTTTTCTTACTGATCTCTCTTAGGACCTCCTAATGAGCTTCCAATAAATGCTAATCCCTGGAATGAGTTAAACACCTGTGTGCTATGTAATTCTTGGTAACCACATTGTAAAGACAGCTCTTTGATGAAGGAACAGGGAGTGTGGGGGTGGAGGAAAAAGGAGAGAGGAGGGGAAAGGCTTCTAGATGAGGCTTCTATCATGTTATCACCCTACTTTATTCATTGAATTTTACTGGGGCCTTCACCAAATGATTTCTGTCTGTTGTTATGTGCCATAAAGTCACTTCTGACTCTTGGCAGTCCTATAAATTTGTTTTGTTTAGTCGTTAAGTCCTGTCTGACTCTTCGTGACCCCCTCCTATAAATTAGCAACCTCCAAAAACCAATCCATTCCTTAATAGCGTTGCTCCTGTCTTGCAAACTAAGAGCCATGGGTTCTGCAATTAAGTCTATCTCTCATTCAGTTTTCTACTTTTCTTGCTGCCTCAACTCATAAGCCTCCCTCCCTCCCTCCCTGCAACTCTTCCATCCAATTTCTTACAGGATTGGGTCTGGGGAAATCCATTAAGAAGACAGAGAATAATTGCCCTCTGCCTTTTAATTGTTGGCACAAGCAGACCTCCATCTAGAACTAGTCAGAGCTTTGTTTCTTCCATCTGTCCTTTGGATCAACAAGTACTGTGTACCTGGTGCTTCTGACAAAACTGAGATTTGTCTTGCCCTTGCTAAATCACAGGGTGCCCTGTTTTTGCCAAGAGGTATCAAGCAATGAGCCACACACCATGTGAATCATGCCAGGCAGGGCTTAACAGGGTCTACGGACCAAGAAAGAAAATACAGAGTGACACAGAGAAAGAAGTGAACAGATGGATAGAAGGACTGACAGAAGGAAGAGTTAAACTTTGAAAAAATTGCAACTGGACTTAATTTTTTTTCATAAACACAAGACCAAATGTTTCCAGTATTCCTAAGAGCTGCTTACTCAAGGTAAAGCCTAAATCTGTTGGCTATTGTTTATAATAAATAAATGATATAGCACATAGCTGGAAATGTTAAGATAAACCATTTTTGTACAGACTAAAATTATATGTTCACACGTGTGTTTGTGCCAGCAATCGATATTAAAATAATCACCTGTGTCTTGGCTAAAACATGAAAGATCTTTTACTAATTACAAACATCTCTAAAATATAACGTAAATTATACTGCTTAGATATTTGGCATAACAGATGTATTTTCTTTTCTAAATAACTATCTCATCACAATACTGTTACATTTGTAAGTCTTATTTAGCCCTAGTACATATTAGTCAGTTACATCTTTATTCCTGTCTGAGGTACATATTGTCCTATGAGACCCTGTCTTAGTTTCATCTTTAACCCTGCCTGAGGTACCTATTGTCTGGGTTCCTATCAGTCCGTATCTATGAGACTTCTGACACCTGCCTTATATAGCAGCCTGGTTGACTACAGACTTTCTGATTGATTACAACAATCTGGTGGTAGCAAACACATTTAACATTTTTTCACATATACTGTACATTCTGTGCTACCTTTAGCCAATAAAGCCAACGGTGAGGGATGATGGCAATTACAGCCCAATTTTGGAAGGCCCCACAACTCTGGCTGAATGTCTGCAAGCAGACCCTACTCCCCTTTCTGGCTATCATGGAAATACCGAGACTTCGTCGTCAAATTAGGCCTTCCCATCTCATATTGAACTGCCTTTTGGAGCATCTTGCTTGATAAAACCACCTGGAGCATAAATTTTTGTGTTCGTCTGGTTGCGCGGGCGCACACACACACACACAGTGAGTTCTGGCTCAAGCAAACCCTCAAGGAGAAAAAAAGTGAAGGATTATGTCAACTGGGGGGGCCATAATGTGTTTTTATCCATAGTAATCTATAATCCTATCAAAGTGACAGATTTCCCCCCTCTAAGGTTCAGTTTCCACCACACCCTTCCACCCCAAGATGCTGGGTTGAAGGCAGGGCACTTTGAACGCGCTCAGAGGCACTGCTTTCTTTGTGACGTGGGATGCGCCAGGATGCTGAAATCGGGTTCTGAGGCTAGGATGCGGGTCGGCTTCCCTTTCTTTTCTCTCCCTTCCCCTCCCGCCTCGCCGTCCCTTCGCCTGCCCTTGACACAAGGATGCTGGAGAGGGGAGCCATGGATGAGGTGGGGGAGGGGACGGGGGCGGAGCCAAGGCCGAGCCCGGAGGGGGCGGAGCTCCCGGTGTTGCCTGGCGTCGTTGGCGCTTCTGGTGCAGTCCGGGCTCGGATCCGTCGCTCGCTTGCTGTCGCCGCCGCCGCCGCCTGGGCAGCCTCTGTCTCCCGTCCGTCACCGAAGGGAGCGATGGGCCCGGCGCTGCTGCTCGCGCTGCTCTCGGGCCTCGGAGCCGCCAAGGTAGGGGATTCGATCCCAGAGCCGGAGCCCTAGCCTGGTGTAAAGACTGGCCGTGCGAAGGCGGCTCATCGCTCGGGCCGTATGCGGCTCGGCCAGGGGTGTGACCGCAAGGGTGGGTGAGGTGGGATTGATGGACTGCTTATTGACGGAGTGTCCATCATCTGTCTAACTATCTGCCGGGATTATTGATGACTTGTGGTGCCTCCCCGGACACCCCCCCTCCTCCCTGCCCAGGATTAGCAGTGGTTTTGCTTTCTTGCTCGAATCACCGGGATTGAATATGCTTTGCCGGCCGCTTTCTATGGCGCACCTGTTTTCCTTCATCTGTAAGCCTTTGTCTGGATTGCATAGATTTCATCTTTCTGTACACGGATGCTAGTGAATGAATGGTCCCAGCTGGCAAAAGGAAAGTCCGGGTGCGCTGGGCTTTGTGCACTTTCAGACTCTGTGATTCAGGCGGTCATCAAAACACCCATTTAGAATTTAGAAAGGGTGTGAGTTGCAAAAAAATAAAAATAAAAATAAAAAAAATCCCAGCCTTTGGAAGGAAGGATGGCAATGTCGAAAGCAAGAAGAGCTTCTAAATAAAGTAAACAACAAAGGACCACTGACAGTCAGTACTTCTTCTCCTCTCTCTCTCTCTCTCTCTCTCTGTGAAATCAGAACACTGATTCATGTTTGCGTATTTTCCCCCCACCCACCTATTTGAGGAGGTTGCTGTCGTGTATGGTTCAGTGGATGTGATTGTGACTCACTTGGGTGCCTACTGTGAGCAATTGTGCGTGTTTGATCAGTTTTACGTGAGGGCTCCTGGTGGGTGGGAAGGAAAGGCTCACATTAACAAATCGCATATCTGCACATTGGTACTGTGTGGCAGGTGTGTAAAAGAATTAGAGGGCACAGGAGGATAAGTGTGGGCATATGTGCAAATGGAAAGCAGGTCATTGGGTCCTGGAAGGTGGCCGTGTACAGCAAAGGCAAGATGGGGCCCAGCTATTCTGGAAGTGGTGTAATGTAGATGTGAGATGCTTTGTGCATTAAAAAATTGCACTCTCTCTGTGTGTGTGCATGTACGTGCGCTCATGCAGTTCATCCTGTGGATTTATGGTGGATGGGTGTGTATCCTCAAAAAACTGAAAGAGAATTCCGTTGATTCAGTTCTTAGCATGTGTGTTGGGTGTACAGCGTGCCATGCCTTGGAATGCATGCCACTAGAGATTTGCATGTAGCCTGTGTGCGTTCTTTTGTCTCCTCAATTTCTTACTGCAAGAGATTGTACCCTTCACTGGCTTACTTGCCTGAACAGAAAAGTACCATGGAAAACAGAACCAGAGGCAGAATGGACTTTGAGGGCTTTGTGGCACATTTGTATGGGCTTGTAGGAGCCCAACAAGAGAACCCCCCCCCACAAAAAGCATCGGAGGTCCCTGGTTAATTCATACAGCTTCTCAGTGTGCTCAGTCCAATTCCGCCCATGTTCTGTCTTCCTGGTGGTTGTTCCTTCATCCTGCAAAAAAACTGCAGAATCTCTTACAGGCACCTTCACAGATTTCTGTGTTGGTCCTCTGCAGAGATGGCCAGCCACAACCCTTGCCAGTCTGCTCCTCTTTCTGCAAAGCCTCTCTTCCTGGCATCTACCACCCTTCACCCATCCTTCCACTTCCTGAATACCAACAACAAACAACAACAACAACAACAACATAGAAAGCAGTGTGGCCCTTACACAATACGAATGTAGGCAAGTTGATGTCTTTATTTAGACCACTAAAAATAAAACATTCAGTGCTTTCAGTTCCTTTCCATTCCAGTGGTTTAATTAAATTTCTCCCTTCCAATGAAGGTTATAGAGAACAGATTTTGATTCTGCTCCCCTAACTAGTGAGGAGAGGAGGGTCATTGTGGAACAATTCCATTTGTTCCTCAAAAGATCTGGAGGGTATATTAAAAGCTTCCACCAAAGCCAGTCATAATAAGAAGGCATAATCAAAACCTGATTGTCGGAATGCTGCTTACATTAATATAACTTGTAATGTATGAAGACGTGCAACATTTCGCAGTAACCAAGAAGTTGACCAAATGAGAATTGACGTCTGTAGATCCCGTTAGAATATGTTGAACTGGAAGGTTGGGAAACGGAAAAGGATTTCCCTCGTCATCCCTTTCCCTGCACCCCTTGGGATGGCTGACAGACCAAATCTATGTATCTGCTTACGAATGCACACTGACAAATGAATATATGGTGGGTTTATGTATATACTTATAGATGTACACACATAGACATCCATTGTAATTTTGTTCCTTTTCATGCCTATATGTATAAATAAATAATGAGTAAAACCCATTCTTCTTTTAAAAAAACCTCTTTAAAACATTGTTAAGGAAACTAATATGTTTGTGGATTGTGCCCTTTGATCTGTAATGCGATGGGGAGAGACAGAAGTATATGTACCCGCATCTATGAAGTGTCCCTGCAAATCTTACTTGATCCTTTAAAGAACAATTCAATTTTTGTGACATGAGAATTTGTTTTCCATGAATGCTTTTATGAATATCTGCTCCAAATTCTGCAATATGCCATGCGATCCATATCATGCAGCCATGTTTTATTTGTGCTGTTATCCACAGCTACTCATCTGCCTGTCTGGAAGAAATTCAGGCTGAAAAGTGGAAAACCAGGAATGCATGTGATTTCTGTGGCCAGGGATAGATAAACCTCAGCTGTTGGAGGAGATGGAGAAAGGAGGCTATTTCTCGTGTGGTTACGGAGATTAATGGATATTTACTTATCGTAATTTGGATATTTACCTAGATTTCGCTCACCTAAAGAAGGGCCTATCTTTGCGGCTGCGTTGATTTGACAGACCTTTGCTTCCTGTTGTTAATTTCAATAAAAGAATCTTTGCCAGGATGCTTCCTGGGAGCCCTTAGGAGATGCCCCCCACAGAGTCTAATAGGGAGTGAGACTGGAACTCCCAGTGTTCTCCAGTCCCAGGAATTTAGTCACCCCTTCTGTCGGGTTGTTGGTTATGTGACAGCAGGGAGTGGCCTCCTGGGTGCAGAGGACTCGGAAAGTCATGGTTTTGCTTTATAGAGGGCGCCTCCCAAAAACTATGATTCCCAGGAAGCACTGTGGCAACTACCTCTTCCTTTAAAAAAGAATTACAACAGGAAGCAAAGGCCCAAGAAGCCAACAAAGATTTGGAATAGGCTGTTCTCTAGGTGAGTGACATGTAGGTATCTGTGGGTGCTTGTCTGGGGTTTGGAAGTCCCAGAATTCTTGGAGAATTCTGGAAATGGATTTTTTCCCTTAATTTAAAAAAAAGAGCACACCCTTAATATTTCCTGACCGTGGCCTTTTCCTGCATGATAGGTTGTTTTTTGAGGATAAAATGACCCTCAGAAAAAATGCCCTTGTGAGCTTCTTGGGGGTAAACTTGGGGCAAAAATCTAAGAATTTATAAAATCACTGTGACTTTAGTGGAAAAGCAGAATGACTTCAGGCACAGCACCAAATCATCATCATCATCATCATCATTTGGTACTGTGCTGAGTACATTGGGCAGCAAGTGATCTCCCACAAACTCGATCATTGGCAGCATTTTCGGTATTGTCCCAAGGAATGTTAATGGTTTTGAGATCCTCCTTGAGTGTTTGATGGCTGGTTTTTCAAGGCCGGCCTCATTTTCTCTTTCCTCCAGGAGGTATCCACCGTAGTTCAGTTTTCAGCTGTGAACTTTGTGTGTGTGCGTGTGTGTGTGTGTGTGAACTTCGTGTGTGTGTGTGTGTGTGTGTGTGTGTGTGTGTGTGTGTGTGTGTAAAATATATGACTGTCAAATTGCATTCAGCATTTGTTCACAATTGTTGACAGATGTTTTTAATCTGATCTTCGTAGTATTTCTTCATTAGCGATACAATCACGAGATATTGAGGATTTTTCTAAGGCAATGTTGTTGGAAAACATTTAATCCTTTAGTCATCTTGGTCATGCATTTCCATGTTTTGCTTATATTGCTGCAGGTATAAACGCTTAAAGAGCTTTATCTTTGTGGCGATACATATGGTTGCTGTTCACCATCTTGTGTGCATGCGCTGAAATATAGCAGACGCCATTCCAACTGAGCAGCTAATGTCCTTGTCTGTGCTTCCCTCAACAGACATAATGCCGCCAAGACAAGTGAATTGTTGGACTTGCTTTATAGCTTGGCCTTGGGCAATAATAGGTGTGCTGTCTTGGATTCCTCCAATCTGCATAAACATGGTATTTTCTGTATTTATACGTAGGCCAATCTCACTGGCTTCATTGTCTAGGCTGCTGGTCATTTCTTGCAAGCATGCTCTCATTTCACTAAACAGTACAATGTCATCTGCAAAATCAAAATCTGTTAGGTGAAAATGCCCCCCCCCAAAAAAAACACCACCCCTCCAAATCAAGAAATTTAGTAACCAAAGCTGACTGTGACGAGGTTCGTCTTTGGCCGGGGGGGGTTGGGTGGTAAAGGCGGGAAATAAACGCGGAGGCGAGTTCGAGTCTTGAGAACTGACAACTTTATTCGCATGAACACTTAATTCCACGGGATCGAACGGATCCTTCAAAACATCATCGGTTAACAGGGCGTACTTCTTCGGTCTAACCACAGGCTGACCCATCTCATCATCTACCATGGGGCCGGGCCAAACCGCTCGCGATCCGTCGGGGTTCTTAAAGGTGCACTCCGGACGGCGCAGATGGTCCCACAGCAGGGGTGGCGGGCCCAATCCCCCTCCAAGGGTTTCTGTTGGAACTCGGGGCCCGGGCGGATAACCCTCCGTCCCCCACCATGGTAGCCCACTGGGAAGACCGAAACCCTCCATTCTAAGGGTTCGTAAGTCCTACCGCGACCGCAAGTTATGAGAGGTTCAGGCAGCAGTCCTCCTCCTTCTGGTAGGCTCTGGGTACTTGGGGACCCGTCCGCTAAGCTCTTGGCATCTTTCAACCAATCTGTCTGCACCCCTCTCGTGGTGCATCTGCCCAGCTCTCCCTCTCCCAGCCAACTGAACTCCCGCGCAAAATCTCCTTCCCCTTTCACCTCCTCCCACATGATCAAGTCCATCTCGGCTCCGCCCTCATCCACCAAGCACACTTCGGTAGGCCTTCTCTGTAGTTCTTCCTCACTCTCTATTTCTACCAG